ATTTTCCCTGAGCTAAGAAAAAAAMCGCAAAATCTGGATTTTAGGTCAAGTGATTTCAACCACTATATYTGTCACTATGATAAGCAAGCTGGAAATTTTGTGACATCTTTTTGTTTGAGGCATTTAAGGACCAAATACAGTTTAAAATGTTCTGTATGGGATAGGCATTTATGAAAACAAGATTCATGTGTAGTATAGAGAAATCAATAGGGATCTGTTGCTTCCTCCTCCTTCCACTGCAAAAGAGCACMCACTGAAGCCAGCAGGTGTAAGATTGCATCCTTCATGGTTGGTTGCTTCGTTGTTAAGTACCAAGGCAGCTGCTGACTTTTGAATGGAAAACTGGCTTTTATGTGTTTTAGTGAAACACCTGAAATTTTAATCATAGTCCAGTCTGGGTCTAGATTAGATATTAATTATTTGTTCCCCTGGTCTGCTCTCCAACAGCAAATATTCCATAGGACTTCTCTCTCCTTAACGGATCAAGATAATGTCTACATCTGAGAGGAAAAGCAATCCACTTCTAAAATGTATTGAAAAGTGCTGACTGAGGATGATCGGAATAGCAACAGGCATTTTTCAAAGAGTTTGTAGGCAGCAGCTAGAGAGCTACTCTGTTAGTTTCTCTGGAGATCGAGTGAGAACTAAATGCAGAGGGAATGCGAGATCCCGTGGAAAATGCCGAAGAGCCACTTCTCATGTCCGGCAGTCCGACTTGGCGATTGGTGGCCAGAGAAGAGATGTAAACCAAGGGTGTAACAGGGCCAGCAAAGGCCGCTCACGGGGCGGGAAGCTTTATTCCCCGCTGCTGGAAAGAGATGGGCACAGGCACAGGCAGAGGGAGAGGCAGAGGCACAGACAGAGATGGGCACAGGCACAGGCAGAGGGAGAGGCAGAGGCACAGACAGAGGTGGGCACAGGCACAGGCAGAGGGAGAGGCAGAGGCACAGACAGAGGTGGGCACAGGCAGAGGCAGAGGGAGAGGGAGAGGCAGAGGTGGGCACAGGCACAGGCACAGGCACCATTCACACGGACGGTGCCAGCCCTGCCCCGTGAGGCGGGCACAGCCACAGGCACAGGCACAGGCACAGGCACAGGCACAGGCACAGGCACCACTCGCACGGACGGTGCCGGCCCTGCCCCATGAGGCGGGCACAGGCACAGTCACAGGCACAGGCACAGGCACAGGCACCACTCGCACGGGCGGTGCCAGCCCTGCCCCGTGAGGCGGGCGGGGCTCAGGCCGCTGTCCCCCGGCCGGTGCTGAAGGGGCGGCGCCGCTCCGGCACCTGAGGCCCCGCCGAGCGCGGAGCGCAGCGCCCGSGGCCGCCATGGCCGCGCTCCTGGGCAGCGGTAAGTGCGGCGGGCCGGGGGCTGTGCCGGGACCCCGCCTCGCCCCGAGCCTCCCGGCACTCCCGGCCTCACGGCTCCTTCTCCCCAGAGGCTCCGGGCGGGGCGCAGGTGCCGGGCGGGGTTGGCAGCGGCGGCTCCGGGAGCGCTCTGCAGCAGGGCTGGGGCAGGGCTGGGGCAGGGCTGGGGCAGGAGTGGGACCGGCCAGGACAGGACACCCCCGCTGGGACTCCTGTCTGAGTGAACAGACACTTGTTTGCTGGCTGGGGAGCGCTGGGTGCTGGCAGGGCTGCACAGAGGGCTGCTGGCACTGCCTTGGGTTTGAGAGGAGGAAAAGGGAAAATCAACAAAGCTACGGAAGGATTTGGTGCAGGAGAATACAATGAGACAAGTGTGTTTTAGCTTCTTTTTATTCTCCTTTYCTGCTCTCTGCATACTGTATACATGCTGCTTCTGTTTTTAACACCCCGCTGCTCTAAACTTTTATTCCTGCGTTAAAAGTATTCTGTAGGTAGTTCTGCCCCAGGCTTTGTTAGAATAAAGTTGTCATTTATTGATTTTCAACTCTATTGGAAGTATTCAGCTGTAGTTTTCCATTTTGCCTTTGGAGCTAGTAATCTCACTGTTCTTGCCAKTGGATAGAAATACAGTTTGGCTTCCCAATATTAATTATTATTTATTTACATTATTTTAGGATTGCAGAATTGGGAAATGTAATTCCTCCATTCCTCAGTTCCCAATCTGCAAACTGAAGGTGCTAGAATATTCCTTTTTAATCTCCTTTTCACTCTAGACACCAAATTCTACAAAGAACAGAGAATTTTCACTTACCCAGTGAACYGGTAGACACTTGCATAAAAATACAGGCATCCATAGAAATTTAAGCTTATGTGTCCTCGTGTAACAGAGGACCCCTCTAAAAGTTTTAGCTACAAACTAACTCTTAGATGCCCTGAACTCTTCGGAGCAGAAGTCACTTAGTATTCCAAACAGTAGAATAAATAACTGAAGTAAAAGACTGAAGTAATRCCTGTCAATTTAAGAAATTGTATAAGCTACAGTGCCCTGGATTCTAAAATCATATAGTACAGTTTGTTTCATGCAGGCTTCTGGCAGCATACCCGCCTCTGTACTGCTGAGAGAACAAAGACCCATCTGTAATATGTCATTAGACCTAAAGAAGCCCTTTCTTATGCTGAATTGCCTTCAAACATAGATTATGCTCTTCAGCTCTTTATTTTTGCAAAAAAATATCTCCTCGTTTTTTGTGGGCAGTTTTCAGGTAGATTCAAAATAAGTAACAGTGTGAAATACTCCTTAAAAAGTATCAGGAAGGCTGCACATTCAGCCCTGTTTTGACTGTCTCAGCCACAGGTCCTTGGAAACTGTCTGAAAATGAAGAAGACAACACAGTCTATGGGCTGTGAATCCTAGCCAGATGAGTAAATCTTCTGTTGTGTTAGTACCTACAAAACAGATAAATGGTCATCCAGAAAAATACCTTTTCTTAATAAGTTTGGGGGTTAATAAGTTTTTATTGTTTTTATATATGTAGTGATTTATATATATATATATAGTGATTTTCACCTGTAAGGTATTTGGCAATTTTTTTTCTCTGCCATCTGAATAAATAGTGAATATTTTCACAATAAGAAAGACTTTTTGGAGACAGTCCCAGAACTGAAATGTTGTCATAATGAACCAAGATCATCCCTATGGATAGAGCCAGCTGCACATTTCTCGATGTTCAAGAGGTCAGAGCTGTTTCTATCCATGTGTCTCCAAGGCTGATGTACAGACACAACCTAAAAGTGCTTCAGGCTGGAACTCACTCAAATCACCACCAGCCCTGCACAGACCTGAGAGCTGCCTGGAATATGCACAACTGAGGAAGGATTAGCACCAGCTGTTCTAAGCACATGTGGCCTCTCCTTTGTCTCACAGGCACACTAGATGCTGTTGCACCTGTCAATATAAAGTATTAAATGTTATTTCATATTTATTGACACGCATCCAGAAAGCGTTCCCTACAGCAGCACTATTATATCACTGATAAACAATTTCCAGAAGGGATGGCATCACATCTAAACATCAGTGGCTCTTCAAGATTTTCAAGAGGGATAATTTCTTATTCYGAAATATATCATTGGAAAAAATGAATTTCTTTGGAAAGGATCTGGACAAGTCCTCAAGCAATATTTCTTGCCTCTTGCACATGATCTTAAGGGATTAAACAATGCTTGAAAGTTGAACAAAGTTCAAATTTCATGTGAATTTACCTGAACTTGAGGGGAGGAAGAAAAGATATTTTGTCTGGGAAATGCTCTGCCCTTCAACAGCTAAGGAAAACACTCACATCAGGTGTTCAGTGGGTAGTTTGATAAGRCCTGAAATCAGTGACTGAAACTTAATTTTATAGAAAATAAAGACACATTATTAAAAATTAGCAGTTATCTTACCATGGGAATGTTAATAAAAGAGTAAAACCCCAGCTGATTTATCTTTTCTTAGCAAGGTAATTTAATTTTCTACTGATAAGTCTCAGGCAGTGCTGCTTTAAAATTGTGTACCTTGAAACCTCCAGAACTTTTTTTTTATGCAATTAACAGGTTCAATGCACTCAGGAAAGCAGATAAAGACATAAATGTTGCTTTCAAGAAATGATGCATATATGAAGTAAAAACAGAGAAGGTGAAGAATACTGTGTTTATTTCTAAAATATAATCATGTGTATTMTCTAACAGTTGTGTAGCTGTCAAATCTCTCTTTCACATCGTCTATTCATAGGAATTACTGTATAGTCTAGCTTGGTGAGATTTCCTGCTAAGAAAGTGCTGTTTCCTCTAAATTTTTTACTGTCTTCCTTTCTGGAATTTATTATGGATCTTAGAACTGCAGCAATTTCTGTATATCTATGCAATGATGTAATATATAGCTATGGTTGATGTTGTAATACTSGGGTAAAACCAATGCAAAATATGCTGCACTGCAACTTCGAACATTCAAATTTAATATTCCAATTGCAAAACTGAGGAAAAGTTTTTTTTCTGCTAAAAATTAACTTGATGGCAAACTTGAATCTACAGAGAAACTGTAGAAAATTATATTTTTTTAAATCTGTGTGTAAAGCAAAAACATCAGTACAATATCTACTGCATTAAATAGTCATTATATTCTGTTTTTACAGTGTTGTTCATTTACTTCACATGTATATCAACTGTCCAGACTACTGACTGTCTGCATTTGAGGGAGCAATGCATAAATGCTGCAAATGGATGTGAGAGTGTCTGGAATGTGGTTGAAGATGCCTGCAATATTTCAGGTAACTCTGTACACAGTTTTATTTTGAATTGTTGTATGTTTCCATTTTTATAGCTTATTGCAATATTGCTGTGGTAACTAAATGAAGTYGGTGAGATTTTGAAGAGGAAAATTATGGGAAAAGACAGTCAGCTTCTGAAATCCTTTACAATGGCCAATGCTGCTTTTAGTAACCAACACACTGTCTCTTCAAGGAAGTAATAAATGAAATTTGTGCACTATGAACAAAGTCAGAGCCTGAACCAGCTTAAGAAGCTGAATTCAGCAGAAATGAGGCTCTTGCAGGAKCCTGTTAAATAAAGCCAACGTGCAACTGGAAAAGAAGTTCCAACCTTGTTTTATATAATTTGGAGGAGTTGATCTGTCCCCTCCCTGGCAGTGTTCAAGGCCAGGCTGGATGGGGCTCTGAGCCACCTGCTCTGGTGGRAGGTGTCCCTGCACATGGCAGAGGSGTTGGATCTCGATGTTCTTGAGGGTCCCTTCCAACCTAATCCATTCTATGGTTCCATAATCTCACACAATACCCAAACCAATGTAGTAGTTCTTAGAATAATGTTTAAAAATTGTACTAGAACAAGAAGAAGATAAAGAGTACTTCAAAGAAAATTTTATTGTAAGAAGGCACACTGTATTTTTCTGTCAATAGTACTAACAGGTCACAGTGATTCACTTGCAGGGATGACGGTATGATAAAGTGCAGATTATGACATGACTAATCCTCCTTGAATTGCTAAACAGATTCTCACATAAATGAAGGCTGAAAATTAGTGTCTGCCTATTTTCCTTGCACTTCCAGCACTTGGTGCTTCATTTCCAAATAATCCATGTTTTAAGTAGGGAAAGACCAGGTATTATAAGTTTGACCTGAAACTCACCCTAATATCTGTGGTTTTTCAACTGAAAATGTTCCTTTGTCTGAAGGTCTGTTGTCTTCTTGAACAAATCTTGGGTGCCTTTCACCACCTCTTTCTTTAAATCCCTCCAAGATCTTGCTGTTAAATGCTGAGAATCCACTTTCCAGCCACTGTGAATACGGAAAGGAGAAGAGTGGCACTGTAGTCTGGGAGTGCCATTAAACCAAGCTAGTAATGGCACTTTTGATAGAGGTGTCAAGGGCTTTGATCTGCCACTACATCATTGGTAGCAAATGATAAGGGCCAGGGATTATTTTCTTGAGTTTACCTTTACCCATCATGGGACAATATGCAGTGGTGAATCAGAGGTACCTACCATGGAAATCTCCCTCCTTCTATAATAATGTTATTTGAACAGAACAAGMCGTGTTGTGCTGCCATCATCTGTTCTGAGCCTCAGCTGTAGTGGAGTTGATAAAGTAAATGTCCCTCTGTTTTGAGGGGGAAAAGTGAATGTCCCTCTGTCCTGATGTCAGGACCCAGTCTGACCTGTGGGGAAGCCAGGCAGCAGAAGTTGYTTGGCTTCATGGTCRATAAGSCATTGCTGAAACATTTACCTGCAGYGTGARCTACCTGAAWGAATRCCTCTGTCTGATCTSTTGCATKCATTTGGTGTCMCAAATATACCAAGTCACAAAGCAATATTTCAAATAATTAGAGCAGAAAGTTCTCTGAGGGGTCTTTCTTAGTGTGTCCTTTTTCAGATACTTATCTACTTTGCATAAAATTACTGAATACTTTTAAGAAGAGATGGAGCAAATGAAAAATACATGAAACAGTTACAACCAACCCCAAAGCGACTGGGCTTCAGTCCATGTTCTATTGATCTGTTAAATATTTTATGTGAAGTGAAACAGTTTCAGAAGATATCGCTGCTCTTTGGAAAAAAAGTATTGGAATATGCAGTAATTTGTGGCTCAAGTGACCTAAAGAGGAGTTCTCTAGAACAAAATCAGAACAAGCTGAATTTGCTTCTCTCACATCATTCACAAAGACATTAGCACCAAGGCTACCTGCCATAAAGATCAATATTTGTGCTGCAGCCTATTAACCTTGATACCCTCCAGCCAGATGAAGTGGGCCAGCATGATTACTTCTTTGGTACCCCTTTGGAAGTACTGCTTTGTCCCATAATATGATATTTCTGTCTCTCATCATCCTATGTACTTATTCACTATTATTAATTATCCTGGTAACTGGGCCAGAGAAACCTTCCAAAAAAGATTATTCTTGTGATTGCTTGTTTGGTTTTGCATGTATGTGTTTCCTTAGGATAATRGCTTTTGGCAAGGACTCTCCAGCATTGCAGAGCACTCAGATATTGTGTTGGGTCTAGGACAAATTATACTAAATGTGCTTATTAGGAACCATGATCCCAGAGCATGTAAATGCAGTCAGACAGCTGATGGTGCCTTTCAGACAGCCCACAGAACAGTGACAGAAAATCTACAGCAGCAGCATCAGTAAGAATAACATTGTACTGCCTGTCATGTGCAAGTCTAGAAGCTTCGTGGATGAGCTGCAGGGATGGAAAAGGTACTTTGAGCACAAACACATTATTTGGGGGCAATAGACAACAGGGTAAATATTTGGGTTTTTAGCTTCTTTATGCAAAGTCTAACTAAAAATTATGATTACACTCCTTCTTTGGGGTAYGAGTTCAAAACTCAGTCCCTCAGACTGCAGTGCAGCCTCAAAGTTAAATGAGTGCATTATCAAGACAATCTTTTGCTCTTTGGAGCAGGTCTGGGAACATTCTCCAAATGACTGYCCAAGTCACTACTTTTCCTGTCAAATTTTCCTTCACTGCTTCCCCACTCCTACAGCAGCATTTCCAGAGTCTCAGTTTACAGTCTTCTGAGTCCAATCCTTCTCCCATTTCTGGGAGAAATATGGAGAAAAGGAAAAATAGGGTGTGAAAATGTCTATGATTCATCTTCCAGGCCAGGATAGAAAATATGAAAATATTAAATTTTCATGAAATAAGATTTTTCATTTTGGAAATATCAAAAGAGTTTCAGCGCTGCAGAATGAGGATTTTAAGGTTTGGGCTTTTATTGGGTTTTTTTGGTTGGATTGTTTTCCTTCTTTTATTTCACTGAAAAAAAAAAGAGACATTTCTAAGCTCTGATTAACCAGAAGTCTAAACTTTCTTAATTTTTCTGAATGGGAAACAACTGTGTTCAAAAGAGAAAAACAACTCAGATCACTTCAATTTTAAGGAATGACATATTGAATTRGATTTGGATTAGTTTACTTTTCTTAGAAGAAGAGAATCGTTGAGGTTGGAAGGATGTCTGGAGATCTATCCAGACTGTGGTCTCACCAGTGCTAGAGAGGAAAACCCCAGACTTTCCCCTGTAGTCTTCAAATTCAGTTCCCACTGAGATGACTGAAGAGCTGACAAAGCAAAAACAGAGATTATCACTCTGGGAGTGTCAGCTTCTACTCTGTCATGTGTCTATCTGTGGTCTTGTGTACATGAATTATGTACCTATAAATAAATCAAATTATGAATAATGGCTGCCAAACGTTAGGTCAAGAGAGATTTTTTTTTTCTAAATGCCTTGGAAGCATATGTATAAGATAAAATATATTGCCTAGAACTAATCCCTGTTAAAATARCAATAATTGAAAACCAGTAATAAAATATTTTCTGCTGTTCATCACAGCTGAATCAATACCATGTACAAACAGACYGATACTGATAATAGGTTTCTACACAGTTTTCGAGAAGTCAGGCAAGGGAGCCCCATAAATCTGGTGTTCTTCCGGATTCTGTCTCTTCCCTTTATATGTTCATAGCCCCACAACCAACCCCCCACCCTCAGCTGTGAGGTGCTCACAGCACATGGGGCCACTGAACACAGCCCCTGACTCCTGGCCATGAATTATCAGTGTCATCAGCACAGGTGAGCTGAGGGGCTGGGGTGCTGCATAAAATATTCTGGGATTTGGGGGGTTTATTCTTCTGGTTCTACTTACCTCTACCCTTGAAGTGTACTCTGGACCTTGARGAAGGCAGTCATAAATTTTGTGAATTAGCTAATTTTTACACAAGCCCCTCCTGATCTTCGCTGCTCTTTTTATACYGCTGGAATATGTTCTCCTGAAATTCTTTTATTATTCCTTACTTAGTTGATAAAATACACTGTCACTACAGTTCCTGGCAAAGAATCCCTCTCTGGCTTCTCTGTAGGCCCCTTCAGATCCTGGAAGGTTGCTGTGAGATTTCCACACAACCTTCTCTTCTCCAGGCTGAACAGCCCCAACTTTCTCAGCCTGTCCTTGTAGGGGACGTGCTCCAGTCCTCTTATCAAATTCATGGCCTTTGTCTGGASTTGCTCCCACARTTCCATGTCCTTCTGATGCTGGGGAGAGAGCTGGATGCAGCACTGCAGGTTGGAGTCTCATGAGAGCAGAGCAGAGGAGTAGAATCACTGCTGACCACACTGCTTTTGGTGCAGCCCAGGGCACATTCAGGGCTGTGAGCACTCACTGTTGGCTCATGATGGGATTTTCATCAACTTCACACCCAAATCTTGCTCCTCGGGCTGTTCCCAATCCCTTCTCTGCCCAACCTGTAGGATTGCCTTAYCCAGGTGCAGGACCTCGCACTTTGCTTCATTGAACATCACAAGGTTTGCCCTGGCTCGCTGCTAAAGCGTGTCAAGGTCCCTCTGGTGCCATCCCTTCCCTCCAATGTTCCAGCTGCACYRCACAGCTTGGTGTCATCAGCAAATTTGTTGGGGATGCACACAATCTCACTATCATAACCATAGTAATAAAATTCTTCAAAAAACTTGTGGCTCATAAAGTAGAAGGCTGATTTACCTTTGTACCATGAACAAGTACATGTTCTTTATTTTCACTACACACACAAGGAAAACATGTCCTGACATCCTGTGTGTCTTTGTCATCGAGTCCAAGTGCACAGGCAAACAACAGGCTTGAAACTGGGCCAGCAAACTAAGGCATCTGCACATTTTTTTTTAATGTTAACTTCTCCCTCATTTTAATTATAAAATACCTGAGAATCAGACTATTATTCTTAGGCTACTTTAAATTTTTTGCCCTTCTCAAACTTAGTCAGGGAAGCTGTTCTACAGGGTAGCAGTTCAAGAAAATATCCAAATGGCATTTGTAGGCTCACACCATCCTCTCATGGGTGAGAGAATCTGACCCAGTGCTGACATCTCAGCGTGGGGTTATCATCACCATTATCATGGGGCTGGGGCTGCCCTCTGTGTCCCCTCTCTCACCCCCTTACGTGGCAGTCCCTCAGCCTTCACTCTGTGTTTCTGTCCCTGTACCAGGCACCTCATTTCTATCCAGGACCAASAAAAGTTTCTCAGTTCAGGATGTGCCCCTTCCACTCCTGGGCACATTTTTAGCTTGSTCTCAGTGCCTTACCTGCCTAAAATACAAGGCATGAGTTTAAGGTTTTAAGTACTTCGTAAATAAGAGCAGATATTCTGGCAATGGATCAGATYAAATAAAAGAGGGTAATTTTGTATCCACAAGCTTATTATATTACTTTGAATATTATTTAAAATTTGCAAAATATGACAAACTGTCTTCTCTTGGCAAAGCATGTTATTTTTGTGCTTCAATTGAATTGTTTTATGTAACCATATCCCTTAAGCGTTCATAAACATTAATGAAATTTTAATTTTAATGGTGAGTTCTAGATAATAAATGCAAGGCAGAAGACACTGTTGGATGTAATAGAATAATCCAGGTCCTGGCTGACAAATACCCAGAATTTAGAAACTGTGTCTGCACTACAGACGATATCTGTAGCATCACAACTTTGCTTGGGAAACAGTGCAGCATTGATAAAGGTAACTAAACATAACGTTTTAATTATGAAATTGTGTAACTACCATTTTAAGTACATTCWTCTTCAAATATACAATTTTCTTTGCATATTTCTCAAGTCTGATAAATGCCCCCAAAAATTAGTTTTGTGTTTTCTATGATATTCACACTCCAGCATGCTTATAAAAAACAAAAGCAATAAAATGCATGTGAGAAATTCAGATGGTTTCTAAAGATCTTGTTGAATCCACGGGAAAGAAAGAGTGAAAGCAAAATGTATAATGAGGGCTACTCATTGTCCACGGAGGTGTGAGAGCCACTGGCTGAAGGCTGTGTATATGGAGAGACACATCCAGCACCTTACGAGTGAATGAATGGGGATGCACAGAGGGGCAGTTGTGTCACACGGTGCTGCAGAGGACTGTCACTACCTCTAGGAGAGGGTACGGGATGTGGGAAACAATCACCACCTTCATAAAGCTGTGTATAATATATATAGTGCATCTTAAAATTTCTATTGTAATCAATGGGCCCATCTCACCTCAATTTAGTTTTTATTTCTCTGAGAACTCTTACCCCTGCAGAAAACCTATCTCTAATTGAGAATTACTTGGTACATGAAGAAATTGCAGTTTCTGGTCCAATGTCTCCTGGCATAATGGTTAGCAAAGCTGACACAGGAGAGGTAAAATGAGCCAGTGAATGAAAGTCTGCAAAGGGAGTTTCAAAGCTGGYTCCTGGCACTGATCCATCACACCCTGCTGGCATCAAAAGGCATTCACCTTATCATACTAGAATATGTGGCCTTATTGCAGAGGAAATAACATCCTGATCTGTTATTCCTTGCCCCAAACGAGATGTATGGTTACCTGAAACCTAATGTTGGTGTCATTGGAACAGTTGCTTTTGCTTCTAGCAAAATGAACTATTTATATAATTTTTGCCAAATGAGATTACATTTCTCACCAGTATAGAAAAAAATTTGGATGGATTTACACTAGTGTTGAGTTTGCCAACAGAGGATAGCATATGGTGTTGGTAGGCACTTTGAGGAGTAATTCTCCCTAACCTCAATTATTATTTTATGTAATGAATCAACCATCTTCTGGAATTGTCATTMTCTCTTTAAAAATTTGCTTAAGGTGGTAATCCACGATATTTCCAAACTGTGGRTGGTTAAAATTATGTGAAATTAATGCAGTAATTTATGTAAGGATTTTCCAGTAGTTTTTAGTGAGGATTTTGTACTACTGCTTTGCTGCTGAAATCTKAGAATGGACTACACTATACAGTTAACAGCATACAATAAGCATGAGGAAGATTCATTAGTCTGTAAGACTGAAATTATTCCGTGTTTGCACACAGCTCAGAATTGAACTAGGTTTGTTTCATTCATTCTAACGCACTTAGACACAATTACCCTTTCCCTGAGATTTTGTGCTGACCTGWGATGATGCTCCATCTTCCGTGTGATTTACAACTCTATTTGTACCTATTTCTGCAGAGTATTTGGAACCTTTCTCAAGGTCAGGCGCTGAACTGAGTATTAGGCAGCAMAGAAACTCCAAAGACCGAAGGAGCTCTGGAGAATTAGAGCCCGACTGCAGCCTTGCGAAGCAGCGCTGCCGAGAGGAGCCGCGCTGCTCTGCCGCCTACAGGAGCTTCCAGCGGGCGTGCCMGGCAGCAAACTGCAGGTTCCCCGTGCCTGGAGAGTGTTTGTTAGCCTGGAAAGAACTGAGGAAAACAGCCCTGGGGCAGTGCACGTGCTCAGAGCCCCTGCAGATGAAGTGCATTAAAATATGGAAGGGGATATTTAACAACCCCTGTTTGCAATACTCTCTGGAGAGCCAAGCCTCAGCAGCTAGTGAAAATGATGACGACCATGATGACTATAATGGTGATGTTGATGGTGAGAAAAATGTGGCCATTGACACAGATTTGTGCTATTCCAGCAGTYTGAATGCTTTCATACATAACAGTAGTGACCACAGTCTGTGAAAAAGGTTTCCTTTCCCAATTTAACTCTGAAAATGAGATCATTTTAGGCAGTTAATTTATAAATTCACAATCTGACAGAAAATGAAGGCTGAGTGCAAATACGTTGTCCTTCAATATGTTAACCTGATATAACCTGATTCAAATCAGTCCTTTTTAGTTTTCACTATGCATAGAAACAGTATAAGAACAATAAAAATATTTTTCTAATAGCAAGAATTGTCTGCTTGCTTTGACTTTAGGCCATGACAAACAGTTACTTGAACTTGAAAACTGGACTGCTAATAAATACATGAAGGCCAATGGCTTTTATTTATTCACAAGAAATCTGACTTTATAATGCACTGAGAAGCTCTAAAAAAACTCTTCTTGACTTCATAGGATCTATAATGATGTAAAAATTGTTAGCAGCAACCTCTGATAAACTGTGCTTTGACTCCAGATCTTATGAATATATGTAATAGTGGGTTTAGAATTTCTTAATGGGTTCTATTTGGTCAAACCAAATTGTTAYATTCTTGTTTATTTTTACAACTGGCACTATGCCAGAAAGACACCCAATACTTTAAAGTTTAAAAGCTATATTTATTCATCACTTATTATTTATTACTTATGCCTGTATCTGTGTCTTTTTCTTCTAGATAATATTAACACAGAAACAAAATTACAGTGGGGTTTTTCTACTCTCTTCAAACAAGGTAAGACTGAATTTACTTATGGATCCTGATAAATAATTTTAGCTCTGCTTTTAGACASTGTACAACATATTTTAGATTAAAACTAATACTTTTCATTCAAATAATGAGCAGGGGGGTTAATAGACCCAACATATTTTCAGTTAAGATACTGGGCAGAGAAGAATCAAAAAATATCAGGTAACAATCATGATTCTGTTAAATTTACAAAAGCAAATCCCATAAACATTTAAGGGTCAGAATTTTCTAGATATTTTTGGAAGGTTTATTTCACAGTCTAGGAAATATCTAAACTGATGCTAAAAACACAAAAATGCCATTCATATTCTCCTCTTCATTACTTATTACATAGCCTAGCATAAGACTGCACACTGGAGATTTCAGCAGTTTTGGGAGGGTTGCTTGTGAGGGCCAAGCTGTGGAAGAGAGAATTATGAAGGTTACTCAATAGGCTTAAAGGAAACAATGCTGGAAGAGCTGGGTAGAGTTTTGGGAGTCAAGCTTAGTTTGCTGGGAATGTTGTAGAYAGGCTGCCTACCAGTCATCACTTGAGAAAAAATTTCTTGTGATTTCATTTTTTAAAACTGTTACTCTTTTTAGGGTACACAGCAAACAGGAGCTGTTTGGATGTGAACAGGGAGTGTGTTGAAGATGAAGTATGTAACAAACAGTTGTCYCTGTACCTTAAAGTTTGCTCAGTAAATAAGAAGTGCAACATGGAAGAATGTCAAGCAGCCATAAGGTTTTTCTATCGAAACATGCCTTCTGAAGTTGCCCAAATGATGATATTTTGTGATTGCATCCAGCACGATGAGTCTTGCTACAGAGCCAAAGAACTTCTCCATGGCAAGCCCTGTGCAGTTACTGTAGTTTCACCCCCATCATGTCTGAATGTAATCCACATGTGTGAAGAGAATGAATTGTGCAGGTGAGTAGAAGAAATATCTTGCCCAGTAAGCTGCTCTTGAATAATGATTTGGTCAAACCATTTTTATATGTACTTTTTATATCTTGTCCATAACAAAATTATTTCCTGTGCTGTGTTTGACATCTTCACAGATGTTTGCATCAACTGTGGTAATTCCAGAAGTAATTCCACAAGTAAACTGAAATGATTAATTTTCAGGAAGGTCTGGGATCTAATGTGGCTTTTCTTCTGCCTGTATCATGACACTTGACACCATTTTTGCTTGACAAACTATGCCATTGCATATTTTCATTACCACTGTCTTCAGATAACACCTGCCTGTCTGCACCTTTGCCCTCTAGCAGTTTGCCCAAGTTGTGCAGCAGCCCAGAGATGTTTGTTTGGTTAAAGTAATTACCATTTGAGGGCAGAGTCTGACCCTTTGTACCCAACAGCCATGCAACCAACTTGGCCTGTTCAGAAAACTTGTGTCTTATTCTGTTCATTTCAAGGATATCTGCAAAAAGTCTGCAAAAAGCTGGCCTGAAACATGCATAGATCACCAAACTCATAAAGGATAAAGCCCTTCCAAAACTTCATTTTATTTTTATAAAACATGCAACAGGATTGCCCATATTTGTAGTTCAACTTAATTGCCACCCTTTATGAATGGTCAATTGGSCCACTTTGGTTTTCAGCCTAGTCACCTTATGAACTGGACCTGAATTTTGCCTCAAATGTGTGCTCAAATTAAACTTCAATCAACAAACCAGGAGGCCAAGAGATGATTTTGGTTTTGTGCAGATTATTCAGATTATTCATGTCAGTGAGAATGGTCAAAGATCTGGGCTACAAATGTATATCCATACATGTACAGTCRTGTAATATCATAATTGAAAATTTCTAAATTCCCCATGACTTTGGGAACATTAATGTTTCCTGGCATTAAGTGCATATAATTAAAATTATTCTGTGAATTATGGCTAGTCACATCCATAAATCAGGAGGTGAATAAAAAATAATTCCATTAGAAGAGAGATGGCATCTGCTTTGAAACATTTGCTTGTGTAATGAAAAAACATTTGCAAAAATTTTCTAGCCAGTGTTGCAGCAGTCCATGCTTTTCCATGTGACATGCTTGTAGCTACCCCACAATATCAACATCAATTAATAACCTAATTCTGTGCTTCAGAAAAAAAGTTTTAGTGCCCTAATATACAATATAAAAGACTTTACCTTTATCATACCCTCACATTTAACATAATAAATTAGTTTTTATTAAATATATACATTTTAATTGATTTATAATGGATATTTTCTTTTGTCATATACAGTGCATTGAAGGCCAATTTCATTCTATCCAGCAAATAAACTGAAATAAGTTGGGGGAATTGATCACGGAAACAATTCTTCATGTAATTTATTTCTGCTGTCAATTTATCTTTAAGTTTAACTGAATTACTTCTACTTTTTTCCAAACCTTGGACATTTTGTATTTTGTTATCATTTGGGAGGCCAAGGGGTTGACATTGGATATAGGTTATTTAATGTAAAACAAGTTCAATGTTTATTCTTCCTTCACACTGCTCAAAAACTGATCCATAGAAYAGCAGCTGGTGTGGTTTCTTGTGGTGACTGGTCGAATTGCCAGTCTGAGTATCTGAGACTGTTGGAATTCACATTGTTTTTTGCTGGATTCTGGGAAAATCTCCCAAAATCTCAAAATTTTCCAAAACCAGAGAAGACTTTATGCCGCCTGTCACTGAATATTGGGATTTTTAAGGCTTAAATGGTACCTTGGAAATATGCTCTCTTTTAGTGGTGTTCCTTATGTCTATTCTTAAAGTGTCTTTGCATACGGTTTTTTTTTTCCTCTTTTTTTCTCCCCATACCAGGAAAAAATACACAACTTTTCGGTCAAAGTGTTGGAGACACGTGACAARAAAATGTTACAATGATGAAGGTTGTCTTGAAACTTTAATCAAGGATGACATTCCCTGCTCTGCCAACGCCGATTGCAAAGCAGCGTACATCAGCAACTGGGGCACGGTGCTGCACACGGAGTGCACCTGCCACGATTTGCCTCCCCTGGAGCAGCCCTTGTGTGAGCTCTTCCATCACATACTACACAGCAAATCCTGCTTCAGTGACTTACGTGAGTAACGTGCAGCTTTACAGAATAATTAGTTTTAAAGAGTATTAAGATATAGTAATCTTTACTATATCTTTGCTAGCACTGGTTTCAGCAAGATCTATAGCTGTGGGTTTTTCAAAATCAAAATCCAAATTCCTCATRCCATGTTCCTCATCTGGTTTGGGAAGAATTTATAATAGTAATAAACCAATGAAGCTGACTTCATGTCTCATTACTTGAATTTTCTGAAATATAAAGAAAAAATAATTTCTGCGGTCTGTATTAATATGCAGATTAGAAAAGTCCAAAGTCTTTGTGTCATTGGCTTAATGTTGTACTTTGGTACACTGTTTTTACAAATAATATGAAGTAGAATTTTGTTTTTCTTACTTTTCTTCTTGGAGGCTAAATATTAGTGAAACTTACACTAGCAATAAACTTCATTCCACAGAAAATAGCTTCATTTATTTAAAGGAGGCTTTAKGATTTGGTCTTCAGTAAAAACACCTGATGAAATTCAGATGAAATGCAGGTACTTTCTCAGAACCAGTAAGGTGCTTTATCAGCTGCTTATTTTTTCAAAAATATACATGTCCTTGCCAAGTCTTTGGTTAAGAGAATTGTTAATGCAATAAATGGCAATATGGGAGCAAATATTAATGTTTTAGTCTCAATCTGGAATGTGCCTTCAAAGCAAAGCTCTTGTTTGTCCCCACGTAATGTGTCATGGGTCACATCACAGGGTGGTTCCTGGACTCCTGCAGTATAAAACTGAACCTGAAGGTTCATCTGCAGCCTCTGCAGTGCTCCAGCTACATCCAGACATCTGGTCCATCAAACAGATCAAAGTATCCTCTTCTCCTCAATTCTCTGATCTATCCCACCAACTATTTTCCTRTGTAAATGCTCTTAGGATTTGTTACTCACTAAGGCATCATGTCTTATTCCAGTTATCTTCTACATGTGTATTCTACAATTATATATATTCTTAAACTAGCTTGGGAGAGGTAACACTATCTGGAGATTTCAATGAAAAGAAATGGCTCTTCATAGTTTTATCTGACTATTTTGAAAATATGTTTGGATTGCATGCATGCATTGAATGAAATATCTGCTTTTGTGGTTCTAGCAACAAAAATGGTACCACTGACAAGGGTGTAATTTTTTTTTTCATGTCCCTCAAAGGTTACCCAAAAAATAAAATCAAGTTGCTGAAACACTACTCCTAGTTTAGTTAATCATTACTCAAATCCATACTCCAAGAAAATAYTAAAAATCATATAACAACTCCCCTGGAAAAGTGACAACGTAATACAGATTTGAGAGTTCTAGCAATGATTTTGCTGATGAATATTATTTACTTGTTTGTTTTACAGCTGAATGTAACAGTCCAAATGAGTGAACACGTCATTATGTTAGTTATTTCTTAACCTATAAAGSAAAAAGATGATCCTCATGTCTGAATAATCAAATAATTGCTGACGATCTTTTGCCATTCCCTGAAGCAGAGTCAGGATAAAGTGGATTGGGKTTTTTTTTGATTGAAACTTCCCTAACCTAATTGGGACTGAAGAACAGAAGCTTATGTTGCTTGTGTGGTACAATTTCCTGGCAGTTAGGCAAAAAGAATTTGGGGGGTTCAGAGCTTTTGGTTGATCATTACCTGCTCTACAGAACATTTGCAAGTCATTGTTAATCTTGCTTTTTTTTTTCTTTTTCTGTATGTCTAGTTGTAATGCAGCTAAACTCATGATGATGATGATTGTGGGTTTTATTCCAAGGCACGTTTTYAATGCCATTCTCTGCATGGCAATTCAGAGGTGTGCAGTGATTACTCTGTTGCAGCCCCCACCCATCCCCTTCCTCTGAATCATTCCTTTGRCCTGGTGGTGATCTTTGGCTGACATTCACTCTTACAGTGACAATGATTGTTGACACTGAAACCTTTCTGAACAGGCAAATACCCACGTTTTGGCCATGGACCTTTGCCTCTAGAACTGGTGTGACCAGACCCACAAGTAGTGTTTACACCATCTTATCCTCCTCCTCTTGCATGGCACTGCCTTTGCTATAAGTGTTTGCTCTTGAGGCTGTGCTCCCAGGGTTACATTTGCTGCAGCCTCGGTAAAAAGCAAGAGCTGTGACTGATTGGCTGCTGTATGAAGCAGAAACACAATGTGGATCATTGCCAGTGTAGGAGCAGTGTCTCGACAGGAATAAGCAAAAATGCCAGTGAGAGAAAGCAAAAATTTAAGTTTCCAAAATATTTTAACTATGGCTTGTACTTTTGGATCTCACAGAACAAAACCAAACTACAGSTAGGTTTAGTCCATTGTTATTTGGAAAATGTTCCAGGCTGCAAATKTGAGCCTTTCTTATGTTTTCATTATGAAGAGGAATACAAATTTCTTGGCTTGCCATTCATGTGAGTAACCAGGCATCCTTGTATGGTTTAGCCTCCTGCTCTGTAAATTATACTATTAAGTAAACCTTCTGATTTTCATTTCAACAGAAGATATATATTTTCAGATTTATTCATGAAATTATTCCCACTAAAAGAACAGACCTTTGTGAAAAAAATTGTTGGGGTCTAGCAATGCAGTCRGAGAATAAGCTCTGTCTTACTCCAGACTATTACCCCTTTCTCATCACTTTTATATTGGTTTGGTGGACCCAATTCTTTGGTGGGCCTATTTTTGAAACAGTTTATGTGAAAAGAGCATTTAAGCTGTTTTGTGGCAGAGAATATTTTCAAAATRTGCTTGTCACCCATGAGAAAAACTAAAGGGGCGGTTTAACTGAGATTGAAAATGAGGAACTGTTATGTACTCATTCAATTTGTTCATCAAKTATCAGTAAACAGTATTTTAAACCAGCTCCCTTTATAAATTCTGTGGCTGTTAGCAAAATATCAAACAATATTTACTTACTATTTTAAAGTAATATTTTGAACAGATATTTTCTTTCCAATATTCAGGTCAAATTTCTCTTCAGAAGAAGGGTTTTTACTGGATGAATACAAAAATGCCAGGAGAAARGGTTTCTGGACCACAGCTCCATTCTTCTGCGATTAATGGTGAGTTTGGGCAAATCACTTCATGATTTTCCACATTACTCTTGAAATACCCCTCAGGTGTGATAGAAAAGACCAAAGCTGGGTCTCTTGGGTGGKTTCAGGCACTGTGGAGGAGGAGCTTGACCTGTTGCTCCTCCATTCAGCCTGGATGTCTCCCTACCTGTTTGGCTTAGCTTATATATCTACAAAATAAAGTTAATCAGACTGAACCAATTTCTCTGATAAATGGTTTAGACACAGATATCTCACAGTCACTGTATTATAATTGGGGATAATGAAGCTATTAAGCCTGCCAGAGCCTGTGTCTCTGTACAGTCATTAGAGAATAGTAGTCATAATGTGTCATACAAATTATTAGCTTTGATGTCATATCTACTTCTGTCTCTCTTGATTTTCTGTAGTAGTTACAAAAACAAAATCAGAAGCCATAGCAAATGGTCTGAGAAGGGGCTTGTGTGACACTCCATCAGACTCCACCTTCTCATGACAGAAGGGCACACAGCATCCCATGGGCTGAAGAGCTGCAGCTGCTTTTATTTCCATGCATTTACAGCAAGAATTTAAGCAACATAAAGTTTAAGGTTATTGAATTAATACACAAATGTTTTCATTACTGAAATAATATTATTCTATATTTCCTTTCGAGGGGCACAGTTACAGAGTGAGAACACTAAAGAGCTTAATGCACAAATATCACCTCTAATGAGAATGACCTGTTCTACCTTGTGCAGGGCAGATTACAATTCTCCAGACATTACTACAAATTAGTTCCCAGAACTGTTACAGAACACTTTTAACAGTGAAAAAAAATAATTCAATCTCTGCATGCAGTAGAAAATGAAGCGACTTCTAACCTCTCCATCCTTCAACTGTTGTTGAAGTGGGCAACCTGGGAAGTATAAAAATGGATTAAGGGAATGGGATTCCTGAGACCTGTATGTGCATAATTAAGTATTTGGCTGTAGTGTTAGCATTAAAATAACTTAAGAATCATGGATGTCATCCCAGTGCTCTCTGTAGCCAAAAAAAAAAAAAGTCAGGGATCCTTAAAGGAAGATTAGTCCAATCTTTTTGGACTGAATTTKCTGCAAGTATTGACTTCTCTTTGCCAAACAGAGAGGGAGCCTGAACACCTAGCTGGAATGAGACTCTAGTGGTTAAATAATGCAAGTCATAATACAGGAAACCCTGCAGTAAGTGAGAAAATGCAAAATGTGTGATATTTCACCCCTGTGACTAGTTCTAACTGTAGACTCTTTCAGTGGGCAAAATGCATTATATGTTTCACTCAGAGATTCAGATAAATATTTGCATAAAGCAGCCTGCACCCAGTTAATGCTGTTCACATTGAAGTTTGAATACTTTCCAAAAAACTTTCCTTGAAGTCTGAACAGAACTTTGGATGGCTTTAGAAAACTAAAATGAATGCTGACCAGCCTAAACCATACTATAAAATATTCTTTCTATTGTAGCTGTCGTACACTAGATGGGAACTCTCTAAACCATAAAAGTCCCATAGGAAACCAGGTCAAGAAGGAGAATTTGATTCAGGATATCTGCCTGATGGTAAAAACCATACTGCAAATTGTTTCATAAATCCCACTGCCAAAAATCTAACCCAGTGTCCTRGATTCATGTGCTAATAAATGTGCATTACTCAGGCTGCAAAGGGAGTTATCATCTTCACAAAATATTTATCTTTAATGAAATCAAATCCCAAGCAGAATTCAGGGCACAGAAGCAAAACAGTTAAGTTGTCAAATATGGCCTTTACGTGTGTGAAGACATTTGAAGACATTTGCTTCTTGGTTATATTCTCCTTGGAAAACAGGGGATAAAATCTGCTCATGTCACTACATCAAAATCTTAGAAGAATCCTTTACTTTGTCATTGAAAGATATAAGGAACTCTTTCACCAGATTAAATGAATGGCCACTTACAGATGAACATGCTCAGAAGAAACTCAGTATTTCTTCATTTTTTTTATCTTAATTTTATACTTCAAACTATAACTTACTGTTACAAAAACTCCAGATTTCTCTATTTTGTTCAGCAGCATTGCAAATCATCACATTGGATAAGATTGCTTTGATAGAAGGAGTCTTTCACAATAAATAATGAATCTGAACATATAAATAGAACCATGGAAGTTACAAATTATTATTCCAGCTTTTGGTGTAAAATGTACCAGGATTATCTTGACTGGATTTAAACACATTCACATTCTCAGGAGGGAACAGGCCAACAGGGTTATCTGTGGGCTGAYAAAATTCTATTAACAAGATGTGATGTGGGCAGTCAGAACCATATAAAGTTTAATGAGACTTTTCCTGTAAGCTTAGATGGGGCCAGAATTTGATCTTATTTTGGAAACAATATCAAAAAAAGATAAATAAAATTAAATTTCTCCAAACTTCTAATATGCCTACCTAATTATGCATTTGCAGCCTGGTTTTGACTTTATCCTATGCAAATTATCTCAATGACTTTACAGATCTGCATAWTTTAAAAGATTCCTGCACTTTAATTTGAAAAATCATTCATGTGGGAAGATAAGGATTTATTTTCATCAGTGGGGAGCTTTGGAACTAAGTTTTGGGTTTTTTATGGAAGGGAAGTCTAGAAATGCAGAACACTTACCCTGTTCTTATGAGATACAATAAAATTGGGCTTGACCCAAAACTGTTGAAATTTCATTTTAAATTGTAGTGTTGTCATGCATTTCCTACTGGGGAGTTKTGCTGTGCTGAGTATTTAGATAAACAAGTAATTTGCAGGGTTTATCTCTAAGAATACCAGCTGCTGTGGGAACTGAGATTACTTCAGCTCCAGTGACTTTAATTTGTAAGGTATCAAACTGTCAATCTGACAGTTTTATAAATGTAGAAAAAAGCCTGTGACAAGCTGCAGGTATCCAAGAAACCTGTGASCACAAGCCAGGATTAATCTGTTCGATGAATATGCACTAGGTGCACGTAAGCAGRTAGAGCTACAACAGACTGTAATCCCACTAATTGTTCCAGCTCTTGGTTCCAGCTGAGCTCAGTTATCCTCTAGCAAGCCCCACGACTTTTTTTTTTTTTTTTTGGACTTTGTCAATAAAAGAGAAAAAAAATATTTTTGTTTATGATTTCAATTTTTTATCAAAATGAAGCACCTTTTACACAATTTATAAGAAAAATATCAAGTTTTGCTGAAAATTTATTAGCCCATTTCTAATTATCCATTATTTTAATTATAATATATAAGATATAATAACTTTTGTGGTGATGTGCTTTAAAAGTTCCCATTCACCTAAARTATGTGTGAAAGTCACTTTCCACTTCAAAAAATTAACTGTTGCCCCTACAGTTGCTCCTGCACTTGTAAAAAGTTTTTAAAAACAGCTGCATGTACAATTACGATTCAGAAACTGAAAAAAAATGCCTTCAAATTACTCTTTTGCAAAAAAATCATCTTAAAGAAATGTWGTAACTTGAGAGCAAGGCCAACTGCTGATGTAGTTTTTAATACATGTTATTAGCAGTCCTCCTTTAAGACCTCACCCCTCTTTCTTCAAAAATTCACCATAGTAAATGTCTCAGTAGGTTACTGGCTGAAATGGAATGTTCATTCCATTTGTGCAAAATTGTGGTGGTTTGAGCACTGCTTTCATTTCTYTTATATTGGGGACCTTGAACTTGGGACAGTTTTTCAAGACAAGGTGAGTGCCATCCTACAATGAAAGCCAGGCAAGTCTAAGCGCCTTCTCCCCTCCTTGTTTTCCTTGCTGTGGAATACACATTCACACCCTCTTCCCAGGGCTGCTCCAGCATCCATAGCACCTGTGCCTGTATTCCATGATCCATGTGCTGCTGCATAAATGTACAYAGAAATGTCTCCTTCAGGGTTTATGTGTGCATACAGATACACAGACAGCACATGGAACATGTAATAATTATAACTGATAACTTATTCAGAGACCAGAGTCTGGCCTTCTCACTGCCCAGATAAGTGGCTCAGTGATGAGTCCAGGAATCCATCTCTTCCTTAGTGAATGTTCCACTGGCTGTGTAGGATGGAGAAGCTCGGGCGCAGCTAAGGCCCTCTACATTTGAATTCCTATATGAACAAAACTTACTTGATTGCAAAAGACTGTAATGCATTTGATTGTGCAAAGAATTAGTGCAACAGGAAAGTCACAAAAAGSTCTCGTGTTTTATGCTTGTGGCTCTGTATTTGTGCCCTCTCGTCAAGCCATCTAACCTCCACACCTCTCCATCCCATGTCCAGGGCTTAYATTACCCTCTCAACTGAAACATTTCCTTCAGAATTTTCAATCAAAACCATTGGATTCATTCCTTCAGGAAAAATAAGTTAGTCCTCATTTGGAAAAGAAAATTTGAAACAGCTCCCAGTTTTTCAACAGTTGGAATTTTTAGCACATAAGCCACCTAAGTGACTTTTTGGTGAGAAGCCTAACAGAAAGAGGAAACTCCATGGGATTGAAGCCCAGAAAAACAGAGTTAGATCCCATTTTACATTAATTTGATTCTGGGTGAAGTATTGCTCCACACAGTAATTATGGTAATATGTGAAAAAGGAAAATAAGTCTARTAGATAAGTAAGAGCCAGATCTGCTCTGATACACAGAATAAAATTAATGTTTCAAAATAAATAAGGAGAATACACCAGAACAAAAATCAGAGTAACAAGCTGTTCCTCTGGAGTAGATACTGCTCTACATATTAAGCACTATAGGAGCTGGTATTTACTAAAAGATRTCTGAAAATTACTTTGTATCAAATGGCAAAGGAAGAGTTATTCTACCACTGGCATACATCTAGGTCTTTTTCCTCCTTCTAATTACTTATGTCAAAATTGATAGTTAATTTAGCTTATATATGTATGCATTCCAATACAAATTTCTAATCTGATTCTTATTACTGAAAAAGTAAATGTTTCATTTCTGTTTTCTGTTTTTATTTATAGGTGAAACTGTCTACATTATTGCTTACTCCTCCTGCATAGCTCTCATCCTAGGAATAGTCCTGTTGACTCTCCTAAAGATCAGGTAATTTGATAGGGATATTAATCACAGTTCTAGGAAACTGAAAAAACAGAAGATGAAACGTTTTGACTTAGTTAAAAGGTGTACATTGTGATTGTCTTTAAAAACAGTCCAGCATGMCCCAGTGATGGAAAGAACTGACATTGTGGGTGTCAGCAGGGGAGAGTGAAATATGATATRTATCTACAATGCCCTCCATTCATGCAGAGATCCCAGGCTTTGGAAGGTTTCATTTCCTGTCCCATAGCAGGGGAAGGTGAAATCTGAATTYAAAAATTCAGTGAGCCTACGTTCCTAGCCCCATAGCAGGCAGCGGTAATGCAAAAAGGAAATGAGAATATTCAGCATTATAACATATTTAGAAACCAAWTTGTGAATGCTGCTATTGTAGTTAATATTCTTGCCAAATGCCATTTTTGCTCATAGGAGTCTGTAAACAACACCCACCATCCCTGCCATCCTTCCCCTTTTCCTCCTCCCTCCCTCTTGTGAGAAACAGCCCATGCACCCTTGCTTGGTAAGAAAACAGAAATGTGCATTCACTTAGTTAAATGAACATGGCCTTTTCTTAAATGATACATTTTCTTGGACCAAATTAAATGGCCAGATTTCAAGAATTACACTGTCAGATGATAGGTAACAGAACATGATGTAGCAGGAGCTACATATAGTGGRAGGGATATTGAGTCAAATTTCATTATTAAATTCCAAGGCAGATCAAAGAGGAATTGTAGAAAAATGCAAAAGGAAAGTCAAGCATATATGGCAACAGAGGCTTGCTTTTTAGGTTCGCAGTTACAGGAATATCAGCATATTAAAAAAAAAATCAGATTTAAAGAACACAGGAGATGGAAGAAAGAACAGTGCATTAATAATAATGGAGGGGATTATTTTATACCACAGGGTTCATTCATAAAAAAAGGGGAATTTTGCCACTGATTTCAATTAAGCCGAAGTTCAAACCAAAATCTCTATAGTTTATTGTTAAATGCATGCACATTCTTTGTTTTCAGAGCCTGCAGAACAAAATATGAGTCAAGAAGTCCCTCGCAAGACCATTCTTCTGAAACAATTATGGCCCATTATAAAAGTCACAGATGAACTACTCTGCTGCTTATGCTTTTYAAGGCTATTCCTGAAAGCTAGCCTGTTGTACATATGCGATAATAAAATATATATTAGAAAAACTACTATAAATTATGGAATTTTGTAGTTATGCATACAAAGTATTTTTATATTTATTAGCTCATTTTAAACCTCACAAGCTGAAAAAAAGGGGGRAAAAAGGCAAAAACATGCTTTCTCTTATTTGTGTAGATTCCCAGTTCTGTCCTGAGCTGCACATTTCCTATATTTTTAGATGCACATGGCACTGGTATCAATGCTACATCAACAGTGGCAATCTTTGAAGCCCACCCTTCTGATCTCAACTCATCTGGAAGAAATTAAAAAAAAAAAATCCACTCAGAAAGATTTTAGAGACCTGATAAAGAGCACAGATGTGACGGTTTTGTCCACCAGGCTCCCAGGTACCCAGTATTCAATGCAGTCTTTGTCAGGCAGCAGTCACAGATAAGCTGCCCGTAGTTTGATGGTGGAGCACGTGTAGGCTAGGAGGAGATCAGGATTACTACTCCTTTCAGAACTAAAATGACTATCTGGAATAATGTTTTGACTCCAAAATATTGTTGCTGAAACTGTGTTTAATTTCTCCTCCAATATGCTCCTGAAAGAAAGGAGTGAGGTTTGCCACTTGAATACAATAACTTTAGAAAGCATTTTTTGGTCTGAATGCCCAGTGGAGAAAGACACTTGCTGGGGCCTGGAGTGCTTGATTCTCAAGAAACGATGACCCATCTCATCCCCTGTATTTCCTATTCATTGTCTCTAGGCAAGACCCAAAATGCCCATTTGTCCCCTTGCACTGTGCTGGGAGTCATGGTCCCTAAACACCATTCTGGATCCCACTCTGTGGCTGTGAGCTCTGGATTTCTCTCTGTAGCTCAGTTGTTTTGGTAGATTTCAGCTTGTATTTACTGCCAGTGAGTTGTCTTTGTTAAATCTTTGTAAMAGCCAGTTCTAGTGAGCACGGGATAATGGACTGCCATTTCCTATTCAGCTGTTACCATGAATAAAACATATATTGTCTTGTTATAATAGCATCTGATTAATTAACTTTATTTTGAATGGGATTAATTTCAATTTTGTTTGAAATCTCACTGAATGCAACTCAGCTCCAGTTGTGACCATGACAGATTACTAATCTGAGGCTACATCTAGGGAGAGATGGAAGACATAGGACTAGAAATTAATGGGATCAGAAAAGCAAGAATCTTCTCAGTGTGACTTTTGCTCCTGGCTTTGGTAACTGGTGAAATTATTAGTGTGAGAGCAAAATCTTAAGTGTACAGTTCTGTTGGGGAGAGGCTTAGAAATTTCTTACAATTATTACAACATGGATTCTCTCTGTCTTTATCATCTGCATAAACCACAGAAAGTCCTTCTTGTTTTGCAATCAAATGTTCTGCCATTACTAAATCAGCATTTATACAAAAAATACAGAAACAGAAAAGTGTAGTTTGTTCATCCAAATGATCTCCTTTAGCAGTCCAGCAATTTGCAGCATTTAGATTACCTCCCACCAAAGTGGTATATTCATAACCTTCATCTTAAAACTGTGAAGTGGGAAGACTTCAAACTGAAATAATGTGGAGAATATGTTGGGTAAAAACATTTCTTTATACAGGAAATATACTTCTGATATGAAATCTGTGCTCGTTTTCAGTCTGAAAAAAAAAAAAAGAGTGAACCCTCCATATGACACATTTGAAGAGATTCTTTTAAATATAGCTAAATTTCAGTCAGGAACAAGGATAGGAACAAAAAATTACCTTCTGTTGTAGAAATTTTTTGTTTTCTTATTATCTTATATTTAGACACTAGAAACCCAACCCATACATGTGCTTAAACACACACATACATTATTATATATGTAAAAATTATTTGAAACTGAGGGTATGTGAGTTATTTTGAGACAGCAGGATGTTTATTGGCTATTGTGCTGTTTCTGCAATTTTACAGGCTTTTTCTTAAGATATGACTTAAATGCTTAATGGAAAAAGTATATTTCCTCCACTCTTCGTGCAAAAAATAGTCTGTCAATTTTACCTAGGTGTTAGTTATCAAATAAAAGAATTTCTGCTGGGATGATCTGTATTCCTGTGATCCTGATAAGACCCTGACAGCTTYACAAAATGTTTTGTGATCAGAGAATCATAGAATCAGTTAGTTTGGAAAAGACCTTTAAGATCTTTGAGTCTGACCATGACAGAAGAAAAAGCAGTCTTTTGAAAGAGCTTCATTATTAAAATATTTCTCCTGAAATATGGCATCTGCATTAGTAATAATTCCCAGATGAGGAAAATTAAGACAGGATTCCCAGGACAGATGTCATTTTGGGTAAGGATGTACCATTCATCCTCTTTCTACTGGAGCTGAGACATCCCAAAGTGAAGAAATGAAGGCTGATTGGGCTAGAGGGAGAAAGCATGAATTTTTGCCTTACAGCATCCTCATTTGAAAGGAAGAATACTGGGTTCCAGTATTTTCCTTGAAGATTGTTTATGCATTTGATCTAAGGATTGTTTCAAGTTAAATGTGTGAACAGTTTTTGAGGCAAGTATACGGGACTGGCTCTTTGTGGAGTTACAGGCTGTAAAGTCCAAGTTTCCACTTCTCCTGTCTTGCCACAGTGAGTCTTGAATTCTTCAAAAGCCAGGGAAGATTTTTCCCTGTCTCACATGTTTGTGTAGTAAAAAGAATGAGCTACTTGGATAGGCACGGGCTCAGCCTTTGCAGGCTGTTGTGGGAATCACGTCCAGGTACCCTGAGCTGGACACCAGAGCAAGGCAGTAACACAGGAGATGGATGGAAGCAGCACCAACACCGTCCCCAGGATGGTGCCATARAACAGAGAACACCATTCAGTTCTTTTAAAAAATGACAGTGAGTGTCTTTCCACTGAGGAAAATACTAACCCGTGTGTTCAAGCTGGTGAAGAAAACTTAACTGCAGCTCATGTCCAGGCACCTCAGTAGTAGCATGGGGTACGGAATWTTGCTGTTAACTTTGCTAAGAAAGCTCCCTCATCAACACGTTGATGTTTCAGACCGCATGCYGAAGTCATTCAGTCTCCCGTGAAGTGTGTAGGGAATCTTAGACATCACTTAGAAGGCACAGRTTTCTACTCTGCATTGGAACATCTGAGGTTAGATAATGCCTCATTGAATTTTTTTCAACTCCTACCTCCATTCCTTGCTGTAGCTTTTAATGTTTAGTTAATGGAGGAAAGAAATGTTTCCCCAGTAACTTAAAAGAGATTTGTCTGCTGTAAAAGCACACAGGAACAGCAGATTAAAAGGTAATCCTAAGAAAAAGCACTCAAAATGGATTACGAGGTAACAAAGTCAACACAGGCATACAYGCCAGTGACAGCTTATATTTGCTAATGCTGTATGCATGAGCTGGTCAGTCAGAGCTGCTGAATCTGCCATAATACATKAACATATCACTTTCAATAAACACTGAGACACGTTTTATTTCAGCTTTAACACCACGTATTGCAAAATCACCAATGCATTTAACCAGGCGGATACATGACAATTTCTTAACAAACACATCACCTCTTTGACCTTGGTTGTTGACTTTGAGTTGACTTTGGCTGTAGTCCTTGTGCCTGCTGTGTTATTGCAGCAATGAAGATCAACACTGCATTACAGCAGGACTGTAGAGAAAAATAATCTTCAAAAATATAACATAACAAAAGCATTGATCAGCAAGTCAGTGCAATTCATTTACATCTCTAGACTGATATATGACTATAGAAGAAATCAGAGAAAAAAAATAGTGGTGGAGAATTCTGATTTTCTGATACCGCAGTAAATAAACARTATTTTTACCTCTTAAAAATAACTCAGTAAAAAAATAGGCAGATCTTATACATTCACACTAACTCTTTGGATAAGTATTATTTAATTTAAATAGCACTGATCCCAAACATAAGAATTTTACCTCACAGACTTGCAGTCTTCATTTTGTGACTCCTTAATGCAATAATAAAAGTTTTATGAACTCAAATGACACTATTAAGAGAGGAAAATTAGCCAAAGCCTCTCTGGACTTATTCACAAGACTGGAATATTTAGTTCTTATTTCATAAGCTCTGGTTATACATGAAAATGAAATATTAAAGTGCTGGTCCAGAGCCAAATTGTCCTAATACATAAAAGTTTAAACTACAAAGCAAGCTGCTGCTGGAAGACATTAGAGCATGGGATCCATGTCATTGCTGTGTTCTGGGAGGCACTGAGAAATGATTATGCCCATATTAATGGAATTGATCAATTTCTCCTTCAAGAAAGCGCACCAGCCATGTCTTTAACAATKTAGGATCTTGCATTACAATTTTTATAATGGCACAGTGATAAGAACACCTGCTCATGGAAGCCGAACACCTGGATGYAAGCCTTCGACAGCCAGGGGGCTCCTTCAGGGTGAAGTGACAGCTATGTACTCAGCTGGGGACACTGACAGGAACTAAAAGAGCAGACACCATCAGTGATGGGTCACTCTCCATACAAGCATAAGCTTTAGGATGTCAGAAGCACTAGAGGGCATAATCCTATGGCTTGACAAATTTTTGAAGGGACACAGTCTCAACTGTTTTATTATGTGCTGGATGCTGCCTATGTGAGTGATGCAAGCTCATGGCATAGCTATTGGATTAAGGTTTGTTTTTAAGAGCAATAGATGCCTGTTTTGTGAAGCCAGAGATTAGGTGTCAGAATGTTCTGCACAGTCAAAATTGTGCCAGCCCAGGAAAGCAGAGCAGCAGCCTAAAAAATGTCAGTAGGCAGAGCATAAGATATCTCAGGATTCTCAGGCACACTACAAGTAAACAAGGATTTTATAGGGATTCCTCACCTGGACCCACAGACCTAAATTCATCCCAGGTGGCAATTTTGGCAGATAAACACAGTGTTGGGGTTTGCTTTTTTAATTCTGGCTCTATGTTTCTTTGTCTCTTGTAACAAKCCTGACAAATAATCCATTTGTCTGTGACCTCCACCCTGGATTACTATAACTCACTAAGTRGTTGAAGCTGAACATGTGGGTAAAGTACAGGCTCCAGATGTGACTGCTCATCTTTTCCAATGCTCACATCATTACAGAATAACAGACCTGCATTTAAGGCTCTCCACAAGCTTCCAAGTAGTTTCTAAAACAGACCCAATAAAGAACTGAGAGACATTTTAGGTTGTTCATCTACATGATTTAATAGGTACCCTGTTTCACTGCGCAGGGAGAATTAAGAGCCTTAGAATTGCAAACCAGACAACCCAGATGCTGAGAAGCCTAGGATGCACTGGGCACAGAGGCATAAGAACGGACACTATGGGTTCAGCTCCTAACTTGGTTGATAATCGCAGCCCTCACCACCATCTTTAAGGAAAACAACTCTGCAACCTGTTGCAGACACAAACATTCTTTTCTTGGTTCTTTCTTGGTTTAGGAATTTTTAATTCCATTCTACCCAGTGGCACAATTTCTTCCAAACTTACTAGAAAGTGTGTTCTTTTTCAGTTCAGCATCACAGAATAAGCCGAGTTGGAAGCGACTCACAAGAATTGTTGAGTCCAACTCCGTCCCTGCACAGCACCATCCCCAAGGGTCACACCCTGTGCCTGAAAGCATTGTCCAAACACTGCTTGAACTCTGTCAGGCTTGGTTCTGTGACAGCCTGGGGAGCCTGTTCCAGTTCCCAGGCACCCTCTGAGTGAAGAACTTTTTCCTGATATCCAGCCTAACTCTGAACTTTTTCCTGATATCCAGCCTAACTCTGCCAAATACAACTTCAGGCCATTCCCTTGGATCCTGTCATGGGTGTGCATTTGAATCTCCCCAGGCTGAACAGCAAGCTCAATCTCAGTTCAGTTATTTAGTCTCACATTCCGGTTTGCATCACAACTGCTTTGTTCACTTTCAGTCTTTGAGAAGCTCAATATAGTTTATTTCAATTAAACATGCTTGCTCAGAGGGTCTTGGGTAGACAAAAATTCATCAGGCCCTACATGAAAACTGYATACTTCAGCTCAAAATGAGCTGTGCCTACAGAGAAAACAAAAGAAGAAAATTTATTGTTAAATAKGAAAGTATTACAGTAAGGGTAGTCACCTTCAGGGATAAATGGCACATAAATTAGGAAGTCTTTAAGGTGACAGTTCTCACATCACATTAGTTTAACTACTAATTAATAGACTAAGTACAGTCTAAGTATTGCTGCAATTTCCTCACTTCTTCATTGGATCTAATCCATTACAGAATTTTTAAGTCTGTGAATGGTTCAAGACCTGGTTCTATTTARTTTCATATTTTGATATATGAGCCATAATGGCTGCTAAATAGCAAAGCCTCAGCTGAAACACAGTGAAAAGAGGAAAGAGCTTTTTTCTGCTGATCCAACCATGCATYCAGGGCAGGTCAAGCAAATCAGGGTGTTCATACCTTCAGAATTACTGGAAAGTCTTCTTACTAGATACTGCAGGAAAAGATTTAGTATTTTGGACTGATAGGCCAAATATTTCTTGCCTCACCTGAAGACATTTCTTTGTTTATCCTTTGACCTTTACCATGAGAAAAATGAAACGAAGTATCTTATATTAATTTTARCTATAATTATGACATAAACAGGACAGAGATATTATATCAAATTTACAGTTTTGTGTTGCCTGGCATGCAAAGTTTGACTTTCTWAAGCTGTGCCAATTCTAAGCTACACAACTGGTGAAAAGATGTCAGAAAAATTCACTTTGGAATTTCTAAGGCAAACTGAGACTTGGCTGTAACATGGCAGACTTGAGCTCCAGACAAAAAGTGATTCAGCCTTTACATGTTATCTATCACTTTCTTTCATCTCACCTTTTSGCCAGATTTCATATTTTTGAGGAAAATTGAGAATATGGAAGAAGACCGTAGTCCAGGGTTTTAGATTTTCATGTTAATGGACCATGTTCAGAAAAAATATARATCAAAGTTAAGTATACAGAGAAGTACAGACAAATCCTACATAACTAACTGATAATAGTAAYAGTACTCATGTTTCAGGCTGAAAAAGATGACAGTATTTTCATGGCACACTTGAACATTTATAGACAGGCTAAGGCTCTTTGAATTTGTCTGTGTGTCCATAATTGATCTAAAAATGACAGTGCAGTTCATTGGTGTCTTGTTGAACTAAGGCATTTAAAAGAGCAGTATCATTATCAGTAGAGCACAGAAAAAAAAAAGTGGTTTCCTGTATGTAAMCTAGTCCAACAGAATACTATTATCCTAAAAAACCTGTGACTTATGAATGAGAATATAAATTCATAACCTATAGAATGAAAAATCTAATTTTTTGATGAAACCGTGGATGGAAATGTAGTCCCTTCTACACTACTATGAATCTGAATTATGTTGAAAACCTTGCCAATTTTTATTTGCTTCATATAATTAGGATTTAATAAGTTGACCAAAAAAGGCAACTACAACAAATTTAACATATGTAACAAATAAGAAATTTGCAAGAGGATTTGAAGGATCTGGCAGACTGCCATTTACCACAATGTCTTGGAACAAGATAAAGTCATCCATAATTTAACAGATGTTAAACAAAATTAAAAAAAAAAAGTTCTATTGCTAAAAATTTCTTACAGTGAATTCAGATTTGGCTCCACATTCATAACAGTGACTTGACAAATGAAAAGCAAGAATTCAGTTAAATAAAACACATAATAGAATGGCCACACACAGCGTGAGAACTCAAAAACTACTGAAAATATTTGTACTGTTCTGAAAGTCATCTTGATTAAAATTTAACTATGCATTCACTGCTTCTATCTGGTTTTCCTGAAAAGAACGAAAAATTCAACTTCAAACATATTAAAACWTCTTGGTGTTAATACATTTTCTCATCTGCAGAAGTACCAAGCACAGGGTTCTGTATTACAGTAATTTATTTCTTACTTATAAATCAGACAATTTTTGACAAGACAGTACAATAGCTCTACCCATAACAAAAAATTATATATGGGTTCTATTTTGCTTCTTTGATGAAATTGTTTTCTTCTGATTTTTTCTTGATGCAAATGTCCTTGGTCAAGGTAAATGGAAAATGTAATCAAGCTGCAAAAACAAAAATCCATTTAATTTCTAGTTCCAGTATTAAAGGAAGCTTGTGCAACCTTGGAGTTTGTTTTCTTGTTCAAAGCTGTGCAGATGAAGTTTCCAGCTTCCATCACAGCATAAAGATTTACTCCCTAAAAAACAGGTGAAAAATGTTAAGAATAATAAATGCACATGCTGAAAATGCTTAGACTCCAAGTTTTTTGCTCCAGGGTCTAATTTTTGCAAACAAAGGGCCTGATTCATGTTATAGGTCAGTAATGGCGATCAGTAGAGCTACAGTGATTTACAGAATAGCTACAGCTTCCAATTTGAAAGGTTCTACTACTTTGAGAGTGATTTCTTGTCCCATCGGCAGTGGAGCAAATACTGGAGTAATATCTTTCAAACTCAAAAGAATCTGGAATAAGGACTGGAACTACAGCTAAAAGTTAGAAGAAAAATATGGTGTTTATCATCCAACACTATGAAACTTCATGCTTGTAAATACCCCACTTATAGCTCAGGCAAATGGAGGAAACACACAGGCAACTGAATTCAGGAGAAATTGGCTCCTAAATTCTCTTGAATAACTATAGTCTCCTTCTTGAAAGAGTCCGTTTCAACACAAAATTACAATTACATTGATAGCACAGCTGAGCAAAAATTACAGCTGCTTTAACTGCCCATGCTACAAAACATGTCCCTTGAGCAACTGTTTTTTAACTAAGATACATATCAGTACTGCTTGATTGCTATAATTAAATCAGATCCCTGATTAAAGAGGCAAAAAACTTCATTAAAAGTCTCCTTTATTACTCACATATAGTAAAAGTTTTAATGGTAGATCATATAAGTAATGTATGTAAGTACTTGCTCCAAAGATTGGARTTTAGAAGCCAGTAAAGTTCCTGTAGAAAGGATGCAAAAGGGGACTTTGAACTACCAACACACTGGAAAGTCACGCAAACCTGGGAAAAGGGTGTCCCTCTCCATTAAAGAACACAAGGTGTATTGCACCAGAAGTACGCTTTCATCACACTTCCAAATTGAAGCTCTAATGTTCAGACCAAAACCTGATTTAAATATGTAGTCCTTTAATTGGATCTAGCACTTATTTCCATGTTCTGTGGCAAACTCTGCCTTTTTCATTCTTGGAAWTGGTTCAAAATGGTAATTCTACTAAATCATTTTAGTAGAAATGCAATCAAAAATACTTTTAATTTGAAAAAAAAGCTTCAGTTTCGTAATCAGCTCTAGTATTTAGCATCATCTAGAACACATAGTTCAAAGACATCTYTTTATATCTCATTTCAATAAAATTACAACAAGGGTAATTTCAGCTTATTCTGTTTATCCTTTATTGGTCATTACTTTGATTTAGTTTGTAAAGTGCTATCGTGCATAACATAATAAAAAAAAATTAGTTCATCTGTGCTTTTGAACAAGGAAGGAATAAGCAAAATACCACCATAGACATATTTGGTAAATAGATTATGGAAGATGTTAAAATAAACTCCCTGAACTACACAATATTCATGTTTTCATCACTGTAAYACTGCATAATGTGTTATGTCTTGATAAGAAACATATCTTCCCAATTCACATTCATTAAATGGAATATATGTACCTCTGCTTTTTATACTGACATAATATAAGTGTTGTGAACCAAAGAGTATTAATTACCATGAGGCCACAAAACCCAGCATTCATGAGCAAGGCTCATAGATGGGAATGGGACAGGAGTAGGTGTTTGCAAGGTTGACAACAAAATAATGTCTCTTCAGACAGATGCTCAGAACATACTTAGTAAGTATACTTGGTAACCTCACCATATATCCAGAATTACTCCTTCACACCAAGGAATGAATTTCCAAAAAAAAAAAAAAGCCCCAAAGAAAAGTGATTCCAGTATTATCTATAAACTTAGGTAAGTGTCTTAAATCAGAAAAGCTTCTGCCATAAGGCAAATCCTTAAATTCCCATTGACTTCAAAATTATTTCACATTTATCTGCCAAAGATTCATTTCATGGGTCACTTCTTGTTTGCATGATTTGAAGAACAGTATAGAAAAAGCATCARTTATAATTTTAATGGATCTATTTAATCTGAACTCWATAATTCACATATTTTACAGATTAYTMTGAGTTGGAAGGGACCCACAAGCACCATGAAGTCCAGTTTTTAAGTGAATGGCCCATATGGGAGATTGAACCTGTGACCTTGGTTATCAGAACTATGCTCTGACCAACTGAGCTGAAAAAATGTATGGCTAAATAGAGTCCAATATTGCCTGACGCTTTAGGTGAGTTCAGTCAACAATGCTTTAGTGTATAGTTGAGATGAACATGAGAAAGTGCTCCTCGCAAATGGACAACATTAGCAATTACAATTCTGTTTTTTGCCATTACACAAAAAGGAAATTATTAATAGGTTTCTGCAATAATGATTTTACAGAATTGGAAATGTTACCGAAACCAACCAACATTATAAAGACCAAAGCTCGTATATTATGGTAATAACTTTGAGGCTCCAGGTCTCYCCTCCAGTAAAACACTCCTTACATAAATCCTTTCTGAGCCAGAAAGGATTCAAGAAGCAAAGCCTTGTGTTTTGCTATTGCATAATGTAAAATCTAAAATTAAACAAAWCCTAAATAAAAACAAAACAAAAGAAGGCTTAAGCATTTGATGGTGAGATGGTCTCCATGGGATTTGGTATCAGCCTTTAGAACAAGCTGGATTCTTGCTTGGCCACCAGATTGGTTACAGATTAATCAATCTTTTCAAGAAGCCTGGGACACAGTATATTTCATATAATCAGACTACTTTTGCTTAATTGCTTCCTTTTGTTATGAGTCAGTTGGAAAGGTCAATGAGTATTTTGCCCAAGGAAAGACTATACTGAAAGCCTAAGTCTAAGGTGCACAGCAATGTAAAGTGAAATGCATGATTTCTCCTCCTTATTTCAAAGYATTGTTTATTCAAAAGAATAAAAATCTTTCTCATGAAGAAAAGCCATCCCAAAGTGTGTATAAACAGTTCAAAGCAGAGTCCACCTGCACAGTGGGCACTTATGATTAAACCTTTGCTAAACGTGTGTCTGACATCTACCCTGAACTCCCTAAAAAGCAGATAAACGCTGAGAGTGAGCTCTGTAAGGCACTGAATGTGCTTTAACAATACCCAGGGAATGTGGAATTCAGTAACAAGTTCCATAATCCTTCCATGACACGGAACTCCATCAGCAGTACACCACACAGAACTGCAGCCTACAAACAAGTGRTAAGTTCCAATGAGCTCCTCAATAAGGCAAATCTTATTTTAGACATCAGGCATTTAAATTTCTGTCTGCAATAGTTTAAATGCAAACTTTGTAGTTTTGGCAGTTCTTTATATGTTCTCCTTTGAACTTGACTCTCCAAGTCTGTGTCTAAATTAAACATGAAGTTACTACAAGTTTGAGTTAGAACAAACTCACTATGTCACATATCCAGAACAACGGTRACYGACAGGAATGCCAAAGAGCACATTTATTGAAGAAGGCAGTAAGGGAGTCCTACAAATACAGAATAATTAACATACCAACCAAGCCAGAGCTACTAAATGTGTGCTCTTGAGGTGTGGATGTTCACTGGAATGGTTCATTAAAGTGCAGCTCAGTGCAAATAAGCTGCTCTGCCCTCTCCTCCAAGAACAGGGCTGCTAATAAAAATGACTGTGAAGCCTCCAGCCARTAACAGGTTCTGCACAATTTTGAAATATGTTAAGTGGGTACCTGAGAAATAACAATGTCCTGTGCTTGGGCTCCAAACGTCTCAATTTTTTTCAACYTTGAAGTCAGAAAAATTGGCAACAAAATAATAAGCACTATGAGCCAAATCCAAAACTGTGACAAAAGCTGAGGTCTGCTCAGTCTTTCCACTGTAGAGATGATCAACTCCTGGAGCAATACCTACAGTACTGAATGTTTTGTGGTTACTGAGGCAGAGCAATGACACAAAGCAGCTGCTACTCAGTTCCTCACTGCTGAAGTAGAAAGAAGGGGAGTGTTCAAATTATGTTAAATACATGAACCATTTCAACTCTAAATTGCTAATGAAGACAACACCATTCCTGTTATATGTCAAGTCCTATTAAAGCACTGGGTTTGCAAAAACTATTATGTGCTCCCAAAATTTTGTTGTGCAGCACAAGTTATTGTCAGGTATKTATCTCATGTTTCCTAGAAAAATATTCTTGTTTTCCTTAAAGTCTTGAGTAGAAAGTAAAAATATCTTACAGTGTCGATCCCCAGACCATTAAGCATGTATATCACATCCTCTGTGGCTACATTTCCAGTAGCACCTTTTGCATAGGGACAACCACCAAGTCCTGCAACAGATGAATCCACTACAGTAACTCCCATCTGGAAAATAAAAACACAAAAATTAAGTATCAGAACAGGGTATTATTTATAATTTTTCATAAATGGCAGGCCATATGTATTAGTCACCATRCATAAAATGTGCATTTCTCCACAAATGGATGTTTTTTTGAGGAAATTCCTTATAATGGCTTTAGTCCTGACATCTTTAGAAGGTAAGACTTTTCAAACATAGGATATGGAACAAAGAACTAACATTCCATTATATTTGATCTTGGCAGATAAGATGATTACTCTTTTAGAAACAGATGTTAGTCTTTTCTCTCTTTATCTTTTAATATGGTGTTTTTATATAACCTGCATCTAGTATTGCAGAGGCTTTCATGCAAAAAACCCACAATCAATGCAAGTTCTCCATATAGACAGGTTCTGAGCTTGACTTGAAATATTTTTAAGAGAATACTTGGTGCATGGTGTTAAGCTTTCTCATTTAAACTAGCCTTAAATTAAGACTTGAAAAAACACTCAGCAGTCATAAATTCATAATTTTTTGCYTCTTATTTTCTTCCTGCTGCATTCAAATGTCTTTGCTCTTCTGATCCACTCAGCATATTCATGATAAAAAATAGCAAAATAAGTTACCAATTTCACCCAGGAGACAATATAACATTTCCTATGGAATTAAGCCTTCCCTAGGAGACTGATAAGGGAGAGGGGAAAAAATTGAGCCAGTGATTTCCACTGATTTGTTTACTGAKCTCCTGTACCCTCTTCCTTCTGTGATTTGATTTTAAAATAAAGCTGAAACTGGAAAGCAATCTYTTTCTGTTACAACATGTTAGGTATGTGATCCAGGACACTGAGTCTCCTTTGTMAGAGAAAGCTCTTCAGCCTTCCCCTTGCCTCTGGAGGCATTTAGGCTCTAGAGATAATCAGAAGCAGGCAAGGGAATTAGGCAGAACAATTATTAGGTCTTCAAAGACACTAGCTTCTCTCTGCCTTAAGCACACCAGAGGGTTCCCTTCCCCACAGGAATATTTTAGACAGACATACACCCAAACTGTAGAAGGACAACTCAGGCAGACTGAAATTCAGGACAGGAGTTCCTGTGCAGGGATAAATTTTGCAAACTCTAACTCTGACTTTGGGTGCAGAGACATTCAGTGGTTAAACCATGCCTGATACTCGCATTCCAAGGCAGTAAGTTTGGCTTAGAGGCCTGAGTGCACAGATTGCTGATTACCCTTCACAGATTGCTGAGTACCTATCTTTGCAGGCTCCTCAGGGAGCCTGAGCTCCTTCACAGACATGCTGGCAAGGTAGGCAACTGATATGTCCTGCATGTTGCTAAGTCCCCTTTCCAAGAATACCCATTGGTTTTTTCAGTCTTGAAATATACTTCCCTAATGTGGGGGTTCCTTTTTGTATCTGCTTCTAGTTTTAGCAGTGCTGTCCTTAGTTTTATTGTTGGCCTTACAGGCTTTTGGAACTTTCAGCGTTTCTGGAGAGCAATAATAAAGCAGGAAGTGTTTTCCTAGGTCCTATTCTTGGAGAGAGAGTATTATCTTGAGCTAGGTAGCTGCTGAAAGCCTGTAATAAAGGCCTCGAAGGAGTGAAGGTGCATAACTGCGACAGGCAAGACAGTGCTATTTAATATTGCTCACACAATGAGAATCTCTAAAAAGACACATTGTACTTTAAAGTCCACTAATCTGTGACTTACGGAGTAAATCACTGAAGTGCAGTTTCACATTTCAGTCACTTGTCACACTCTTTGTGTAACCCACCAGTCAGAAAATGTGTTGTACAACACATCTGTGTCCAGTACACAGAGGATATGCATTTATGACAGGTGGAAATTCTGTCTCTTTTTGCAAGAGCTTCTAGGATTCATACATTTACTCTAGAAGTCATTGCTCCAGGCTCCACAGTGGCAGCTTTCAGCTTGCAAGTGTCCCTGCAGAGACACACTTAAGGCTTCTTCCTAGAAAGGTTTTGAGTATGGTGAAGGTGTGCAGAAAAGGGCATCTAACATATGGATGTACAGATATGATACAAGCATGATCCCACTACTATGCCAGCTCTTTCAGTCTGATTTTAAGATTTGCATCAGAAATCACAGTTTCAGAGGAAAAGATAAAATAAAGTGTCGTTCATGGAGTTTTTCTCAATCTGTAAGGTTATGTCATAACTGCTAGAGCATTCTTCTTCATATACTTATTTTCAGTAACTTTTACATGGGGGTAAAATCCACAGGCAAATAATGTGGTGAGGTACATCATGGTTGTTAAATTCCCAAGGAATATCAGCAGACTCAGAAACAGCTTCAGTAGCATATAAACAATCAGTTTTTAATCTCATTAAATACTTGTCCTTTGGCAAAAAATGGAAAAAAAGTCAACTAAATTGTATCTGGTAAAAAACAGCCAGAAAGTTTTGTCAGTACCCTGCTCCAGTCCTTTACAGGGTTCTCACTGGAAGCAAAACCAAGAAACAATATCCTTCCAGCATTTAAAGGGCACGTTTTCCAAAGGCATTGAATATTTATACATATTAATTCTTGATATCCTTGCASTTCTGAATTTGCAATACAAATCTTGCAATACTGAGGTACAGGTTGCTTATAATTGGTGAAAGTGCTGGTGACTTTATGGAGGGAATAGGACATCACAGCAACTTGAAGATAACATGAAACACCCATCTTTGTCTAACCCCATCCTTTTATTGTCAGGCAGCCTTGTTTGAGTTATTCAAAGTACCCCCATTGGAAGCTCAGACAATTTATCCCAATGTAGATGCAACAGCATAGGAAAACCTGATGGCTTCCCACAAGCAGTGGGAGCAGTAACTTCCTCATGACAGACAGTGACAATTGCTCTGTTTTTTACATCATTGATTATAATGGATAAATATGAAAAGATCTAGTCACAGGTTTACAATGGTAGTGTCCTTTGAGGGGGGCAATGCCTTTAACCCTAGTTCAGGAGACTTAATCCACTCCTTTCCAGAAACAGTGTATAAACATGAAGTCTCTAAAATTGTATTGCCTTCTGGAGGTATTGTATCGCTATCAAACTTTGTGTTAGACAAGGTCTTGACGTGGCATATGTAACATAGCAACCCTGACTGACCTCCAAATCTGTCAGTTCATCAAATCAGTGGTCATAATATGCAATGAGCAGGTGTCTCTCTTTCAAGATAATGTCTTAAAGTTCTCTTCACGATGATTTTGATACAATATGTACTGCAATGCACTGATATTTCAGCAGCAGGGTCAGCTGCATCTGCTTGCAATTGTTGTGCAATTACAATGTGTTTGCGGACTCGAGTGCAGAATCACTGCAGTTCATCTTCAGTGTGGGCCCATTCAAAAAATTCTTAAATAGTCCATACCCCAAGCTCCAGTCTAACAGCGCTAAAAACAGATGTTGGAAAATACCCCTTAGCAGTGCTACTAACTAATTTGGAGGTTGATATTACAGYCCAGGCTGGCCAAGCGCAGAGTCCGAAATAGCACCTAATAAATAACTTCTCTGCAAGTTGGAGCAGCTATGAAACTGTTTTGCTTTTGCAGCCATTAAAAGCACAAGAAAATCTAAAAGAAAATCTAAAAATTCACACAATATGTAAAACAAGATCTTTTCCTTCAWCCCATCTCCAGTATTTGTCAGTCTTTTACAGGAGATAATGAGTTTCAATCCTTAGGAATCCAAGCTTGCAAAGCTTTTCCTGCCAATATGAAAAAAAAAGCTCAGAGTCTTACTGTCACTTCCTGACAGGCAYTAAATTGTGCTGAGACTCATGGGAAGCTGAACTGCAACTATTTCATAGGTTATGTCCTAGATGAGCACTCACCGAGCTGCTTACATATGGACATGTATGGCGGTGAACAAAGGCTTGGCTTCCAGGACAACCATAGCACTCCAATCTTTTTTGACAATTTTTGATCATCACGGCATTCCTGACAGTGGTTCCTGAACACCTTCCAAATTTTAACTTTGGCTAGCTTTTCCWTATTCTTTGGAGAAGGCAGAGGACTTCTTGCTCCTGTCCCATGCTAACTTCCTAATTCCCCAATGAGAAAGCAAGGAATTAAATTGATCACCTTTGTCAAACAGCCAGTTTTAMCAGGAAACCATTATTGCCAGTGAATAATAAATGTTTCGTGTTTCTCAGTTTGCTTTCCTAGCTCCCCGTAACYTCTTGTTGGGACAGTCTCCTTCCTTACTGATCTTTAAACCTGGCTTGTCTGGCAGGAATGTATGTGGTATAAATCAGAAGCTATAAATCAGATCTCTCATAAATTAGGCYTCTTCTAAACKATGGGATTTTGAAATCATAATAACWAGGATACCAGGTATACATTAAACAGGAAAAGATTTGTGCCACAGAGYCTAGGGGCCACAGCATGGTGAAGTTCAGTGCCAAGACGGCGAATGCAGATATAACAAAGAATCAATGCATYAGTTCAGCATTTGTTCAAGGAAGGGAGAAGGGAGGGCGGAAGAAGTAAGAGGAGGACCCACGTATATCTGGYCAAAGGCTGCCAGCTCAAAAGGCAGCACAAGACTAATGCTATTTAATCTTGCAGCCCCGACAGTGCCTAGCTGGCACTCTTGGGATGCCGTGGTTCTGCCATGTTACTGTGTCTCTCTGGCATCAGTCTGCTCCCCACTGCTACAGGGTGTGCCACTGGCAGAAACACCCTCTCCTGTAGAGAGATGGAGAGRTAACCACAGAAACATAAATAACTATGCCAGCAATGCTTCATAAGGTTCAGTGCCCACAATGAGCCTTCCCTAATTTATACTGTTGTCTAAAATCAAAGCTTGCCATTCTCCTGTATATCAATAAAATAAATGTATGCAAATAATTATTATTTGGGTATTTAAGAAATTAGAAAAATATAAAGCAATAAAACGGGATAACAGCTCTCTGTGGAAATCTCTGAAAGTTATCTGCATTTCCTTCCTGTTTCTTTTTTTCTCTGCTCTTGCTAAAGAGTAATACATCACACAACTGTTTTTCAGGGTCAATGCCAT